AAGCAAATTATGTGAAAAAATAGTAGTCGAAAATTCAAATGGGCAAGATCGCCATTTATCGCTTTACAGCCTTATACTTCCACTAGCCACTTCCTTTTATATTGAAAATGTTTTTAGTAATATGCAGAATTACTGATTTTTAGCACGAGACCCATCCAAAAGATGACGGAAAGAAGAAAAGTACACTGCAGCACTGGATCAGCACCACATTGACGGCAATGGCTGAGATTAGTGAGCAGGTAGTATCAGCTCGTGATGACTAGCTGACATGGCCGTTCGGGAGGGACCATTTCCTCAGCGAGACCATGCACAACGCGTCAAACCCATGCTGTTACGGTATGGAAGCACACCAACGAACCACTACTTATTAACACCACAATCGCCACACATCCGAACAGGGGGCATTTCGCTTTAAATATATATTGGCCTGAATATCATACTCTTCATTCACTTCGAAATATTTGAAATACGACGGTTCTCACTACGTTACGATGTCGTCTGAGGTTGTGTTGTTGTTGTTTTTATTTGCTTACATATTTCTTCGCATTCACTAATGAGGTTACCTTACAAATATCCTACGCTGAAATTGTTTAGGCATTTTGTAAACCTCAATGTATTCTATACTCTGCTGCTCAATTATATAGCGCAACTTCACATAATATTGTACCAGTAGCATTTTTTGTATTATATAGTTTTTCGTTCCACAATAACGTTGTACAACATGTTTGATCCTTTTTAAAGCACACTCCGCGATATCTAGATGGGCGGAGTCAGGATCGTTGTGCCTTCCTTATTGGTGCTTCTGATTTATGAGGCGACAAGAAGCGAGGAGTGCTCCAATGTAGTTCACTCTCTCCGCCCATACGGTCGTCGTCGAACGTGCCCAACGGGCGATGGTGTCATAAAAAATTGAATGTTACTCAGAAAACTGGTTGGTTGAGACCCGTCCCGTTGCTTAATCACTGGCCTTATTCTGCTGTACCTTCCAAAGAAATGAGAAACCATAATAAATTTTAGATTATAATCAGCATCTAAGAGGTTATTTTCCCTGCAACTCTTCAAGATTAACTACATAAGGCACGATAGCTGGGGTGGGAGGTTGCTGCCCACGTCATTGGTGGAGGGGCGGAGTGGGGTGGCCAAACGCTCTCTCTTAGTCCTCCCACCAGTGACGTTGGCAGCAACCTCCCGCCCCCAGCCGTCGTCCTCACTGCCTTCAAGACCGCGAAATTAAGACTATGGAATCAGCAAGCGCCAAAATGTAATCATAAATTTAATGAGTGTACACATATTCCACAATTACTCGACTGTTAACTCATAACATTTCCTTCTTTCGATACTAAAGCTAATCAGTTTACGCGGGAAATCAACGTTCAAACTATCCAGTATGTATGTTGGGCGCAGTACCTCTGTGTCTTTTGACGTCAGTACACCATGCCATCTTCCGGATTTTGGATACACTTTTCGGATTACGGTATTGTCCACAGAAGCGCTCGCGTCCAGTCCGTTTGCACTCCATACCCCGGAGATATGGAAGGCCTGGCTACGAACTCCATTCGAGCATGGCGCAGGACCTTTGTCTTGGGATCTTTATGTATTAACATCTGCCTTCTTGTTTTGTGTTGGACAAATATAAGATTGGAAGTAGGCAAAATCCCACCGAAAGCAGGCCGCCGCCGCGTTCAAATAAAGTACGCAGCCACGCCCTCCTCCCCTTCGGGATATGAAGGGTGCAAGAGTGCGTGCTGATGAAATGCGTACAATTCATTGGGGGACTCCACTATTGGATTCCCGTTGGATTAAACTATAAGCGCCAGTGAATTCAACCAGACAATCATAACTCTAGTAATCAAAAACGAATACTGTATCGAGTCCCAGAACTAGTCAATTTGTGCCAAAATCCTTGTACCTGTCATTGTAACCAGATAGGGCCTTTCATTTACCTTGTGCAATATAATTATGCCTCATTTTTTTGTTCAATTATTGTTCATATATCTATCAATTCACATATCCTTATTTTAATTGCAGTATTTCAATGTATTGAATAAAATGTTTGACTGATTGCTGTTAGTCTACAGTGGAACGCTTCGGTCTGGTACGGTCAATGGAGCATTCAAGCATTCAGCGTAATGCCCTACTGTGTGCAGTCGTTATCACTGAAGTCGGTCGGGGTGTGTCAACGCGGCGTGGATGTGCGCCAGCCTCTTCCCACCACTCATTGAACACCCGAGGTTGCAAGGATCGATGGAAAACGGGCGTTGTAGTTTCGAGCGTTCACTTTCGAATATCATTATGAAAGCGAAAAGCGGGTAAATATCAGGCTGGACTGACGATTTTTCGTGAAGGGAGGGGATCGTACTTCAGCCCCTCCTCCCACTTTTTCATTGAAAATTTTTCAGTTTTTCCCTAGAAAAACTGCCGTTGAAGGGGGCGGTCATCTTCACCCGTCAACCAGCAATTCAGCTATTGAAATAGTAGTTGTAGAAGACAATTGTAGTGTTCCCGCTCGCCTATACTGTTTCGAGTAAGCTGGCCACGCGGTGAAGAGGGAATTCGGTGTTATTTGATCCTCTCGCACTTCTAGAAATATCGAAGAGGATACTGATTGGAGAGTGTTGAGTACTGGTAGTGTACCCCTTTGGTGTTACCCCTTGAGTGAAAGATTGCGCAGTTTGATTGTTGCGATTGTATTGCTTACGGTGCTGCTCAAATTACTTTGAGCAGTTTATTGGTAGAGTTGGAATACTGAGCAGATAACTGTGTCTGACGACAATGGCTCCAGGGTACAGCATGGGGATGTGCGAAATGGCGGTGTGAGTACGACCCCCCCCCCTCGAAGAGGGTCCAGTTACGACCCCCCTGCTCTAACTGACAACCAGATGCATGTTCACACCAAATGGCTTCCTGAAATGGAATCTGGATTTTCGAAAGGCGCACTCTGCTCTAAAATCCAGGAAATAAAAGGCTGTTTCAGCTGAACAACAGCCTCGCATTACCTACAATTTTGTCTTAGGATTCAGAATAAAACTCGTCGTTCGACAACCATGTATGACATGCAACTTGTAACAAGGAACACAATCGAAAACAGCGACTAAATGTGGTCAATTGATAAGCTAAATTGGTGAATAAAATGGCCCCAATGTCAGCGTGTCAGGCCCGAGATGTGCATTCAATGAATGGTGACGGCGAAATCATGAAAACATGCACGACACAACAAAGCGAAACATGAAAAATACAAAAAAATGCGGAGCCAAATGAAAAATAGATAACGCATTGGGAGGTATGATCGACTCTATATTGAAGGGGCGCTAATTATCCGATCGCAACGGTTGCAGCCGCTTAGCTGGAAAAACGTTCATTGAAAGTGCGGTGTTGGGCCTGACAGACGTTCTGGGTCTTTTCGGGCATTATATCTCTTTGAGGGGCGCGGCTTTTGATGAATGGTTAGCAGCATGCAACGGGAATGTTCCTACTGTTGCGTTTTCTACCCAGTTGCAATCTGAATGTTTCCCCGTTCGTGAAATATTTCGGATGGGTTTCGGATCGGCTAGGGGTAAATGGCAAGCGGGTTTTTATGCTTCACACGGATTACTTATTTGAACGCAATTTCATCAGAATTAAAATCGTCCTGAAACCGCACTATCTTTTCTCTTTCCAATAAGCTTTACAGTTTTCGTGAAGACTCGCTAATTCAGGAGATATTTTAACCAGTCGGCTCGCCGGCTAACGCCGGCGTGCCTCCTTCTGATACGGCCCGGCTGCGCCGGGCGAGCGCGGCTTCGCCGCGCGTATTTTCTTTCACATATTTCTAGACTCAACTGATATCCGCCTTTTGTTCTGTACTCCACTTTTTTCCGGTGTCTGAAGTACTCTTGAGCTATTTTACAGATTCTTCGTCTGACTCCGCCCACCTCGGAGCAGGCCCGCCACAATGTTTTTTTTTGGCCCGCAAAACCTCAACCGGCGACCCTCTGCTGACCTTAATCCACGTTTTTTTCCGGTCTTTGAAGTGCTCTGGGACAGTTTTAGAGAATTTTCGTCTGGCTCCGCCCACCTCGGGCTGGCCCCGCCCACAATATGTCTACCCCACATTTCTCAATCGGCGACCCCTTGCTGACCTGAATTCACTTTATTCCGATCTTCGGAGTGCTCTGGAGCCGTTTTACAGACCTTTTTGTCTGGCTCCGCCCACCTCGGAGCAGGCTCCGCCCACAATGTTTTTGCCCCACAACCCTCACCGGCGACCTCTGCTGACCTTTATTCACTTTTTTCCGGTGTCTGGAGTGTTCTGGAACCGAGCTACAAACTTTTAAAATGAATACCCTGCGATTTAGGGCAAGCTCCGCCCACTGTGGGCGGGTCTCAACACACTTTGAGCGTGCCCTATATTCGCCAGATATTTACATTCTACAGTGAGTCTTTTGCGACTTCCAAACACTTTCGCGAACGGGTTACTGAATTTTGCGAGAAGCACCGCCCACCTTGAGTGAGCTCCGCCCATTTTGGATGTGTCTGCCACAGTTAGTCTGGCGACTCCTTACTAACCTTATTCTCTTTTTTCCCATCTTTAAGCTGCTCCGGAAGCGAATTATGAACATTTTTCTGCGGAACCCCAAACTTTCAGCGAGTGCCCCGCCCACTGTGGGCGGGGCTTCCCATAGGTCATGTGTGCTTTTTATTTCTTGTCCCATGCCCTACCCATGGCCCTACCCGTTCCATCCCACCTTGACCCGACCTCTCCAATCGCTTCTCATGGTCGAACCGAATTTCGCGGACAGACAACTCACAACAAACAAACAAAACAAACAAAACAAAGCAAATCACACGAAGCGAATATATATATATATATATATATATATATATATATATATATATATATATATATATATATATATATATATATATATATATATATATATATATATATATATATATATATATATATATATATATATATATATATATATATATATATATATATATAATATATATATATATATATATATATATATATATATATATATATATATATATATATATATATATATATATATATATATATATATATATATATATATATATATATATATATATATATATATATATATATATATATATATATATATATATATATATATATATATATATATATATATATATATATATATATATATATAGGGTGGTGTTCACAGACGCTTCCTCTGATCGGCACTCACCCGAAAAATCGACTCCTGTGCCATTGTGAGAATACACCTTCGGAAACTTCAGTGTGCCTTCAAAACACATATTTCCCTTCAAATGAGTGAAAGAGGAGCTCGGCTATCACTGATCGATTTGGTCCGAGTGTGCGCCGTGCATTACATTACGCAGAGGTAGTGGAAAGGTGTAAATTCTGATTTCAGGTGCTTTTATCCATGCAAGCAGAATGCTTGTTTGGGGTTGGAAAGCGACAATACGCACGAGTTTGTTTGAGACGTATTATTTAATCACCGTAAACGTACTTACGAGTTCATGCTATTATCTGATATTTATTTATTTATTTATTCTTGTGCTATTCTTGCTATATTGCTAATAAATTTTTTTATTATTTATAGTTTTCGTAGTCCTATTTACATCCGGGTCTTCTGCGCAGCTTTCCTCGGTCGCCGTTCCATCAAAGCTTATGAGCACTTTGAACAATGACATCCTTTTGTAATGACACTTTTGTACTGGTTTGGTGCCTAAACGAGCCTACTTTTGCGATACTTCCCCATGTACCCCGAGATTCGAAGCCCATCTTTTGGGATTTCGCAATAATAAAGAGGGCTGTTAAACGTAGCAGTTAAATCTGTAAAGAATACACTCATAATAATTTTCATTTTTTTAACATCTTGACTTCCATAGCTCCACTCCCACTATCAACTGAAATGTCGAAGCATTGCCCGGCTCTGAGTGACCCTTGAGATTACGACCCCCCCCAGCGGCCAAGTACGAACCCTCCCTACGGGTTTCGCACAACGATGCTGTACCCTGAATGTCTTAGGAATGCAGCAACTGGAGAGTGACTTGGGTGACTTGAGGCCTGCTTATATAATGCATTTCCCGCGCGATCAACTGGTCAAATCCATCACTCTGGGTTCGATCTCCTATAGGGTACGGTAAGCCGCTTTCGTCGTTTTCTTCTGAAATCAGATTGTAACAAACTATAACAAGAAACAACTTTACCAAGTGTTTTGCTGCAACAATGAAGGCGCCGTCAACCAGGAGGATACGTAATACATATGAAACGGGGAAAAACTGCGAAAAGCCAGCCACCCAGATACGATTCCATGGCCGATGCCGTTTGGACGCGCTCACTTTTGGCTATGGGCTCATTTATGAAGTGCCTAGATCACCAAATCCGCTGAAAACTTGTACACAGGGGTTATTTAACATCCTGATTACGAATATGACATTCATTCTTGGCGCTGGCGCTAATGAGGGTTACACGATTATCTGCATTTTGCTGAGGCTGAGCCCAGAAGATAATCGTAGTGTCCTCCGCCAGCGCTAAGGTGTCATAATCATAACCAGGATATTAAATTACCCCTGTAAACAAGTTCTCAGCTGAACTGGTGTTCGAAGCACTTTGTAAATGAGCCCGCAGCCCAAAGTGAGCGCGTCCAAACGGCATCAATCCGATCCCATCGACCAAATACAACCTCCTCTTCTGAACAGAGACAAACTGAGGCTCTTCTCCCCCATTTCGGAGGTGGGACTGGGACTCTTCAACGATACTGTACTCCGGCAGAGGAAAGACAGCATAACAACGGATGATCTCATATAACATATCTAACTTGAAAGGAGCATCCATGTTGGTACTGGGCTAAGCTGGCGACTATCTAATGAGAGTTAATTCCAATCGGAAGTA